CGCCCGCCGGCAGCCTGCCGTCCAGCTTGTACACAACCTCAGCCAGCCGGCTGTCCTCGTACCTGCGCCGGAGGGAGGGAGTGAACGGCCCCAGCCAGCTGCCAAGGTCTGGGGAGACCGGGAGAGCTGGGCTCCAGTACAGCGGGTGGGGGGAAAGGACACAAGAAATCCTGGTTTTCACTGGTGGACTGTGCAGCCCCAATCCAATTGTGACTACACGCACGCCCACGGCCCGTCCCGGGGGCATACCACGAGGCAAAGCCTAGGCCAGAGTGGGGGAGGGAGGAGGCAGGACTGGCCTCAGTTCTGGGTGGGGGAGTGGGATGTAGTGGTTAGAGCCAGGTCTCCCCCTCCAGCTCTGGGAAGGGAGTAGAGTTCAAAGGTTACTGCAGAAAGGCTGGGGTGTCAGGACCCTGGAATTATTGCCGATGGGGAAACCGAGGCATGAGAAGGGACCTAATCTGCCCACAGTGGCCCAACATGCTGAGCCAGGAATGGACTCAGGTGTCCCTATTCCCAGCCGAACGCCCTTCCCACTGCCCCACGGTCCTTCCCGCCCCACAGCTGGGAGAGAGCTCTGCACCCCGTTCTACCCAGCCAAGGCACTGCCCCACAGCCCTGGCCAGCACCCCCACGGCATCCAGTTCTGGGCTCCAGGTTGGCACCGTGAGCTGGCCTGAGCCTAGGCTCCAGGCACAGGGGAGGCAGTGACAGGTGCGCACTCAGAGCCATACCAGTCCATGACGGTGATGTTGGGCTGGTAAGAGTCCAGAAGCTCCTCCCACAGCCCCTCCGACAGCAGGTCAACCCGCTGCTCTTTGATGCACCAGCTGCAAGAAAGGGGGGAAGGGATCAGGGGGAGCAGCACAGCTGGGAACCGCAGGGGAGAGCATGCAGGGTAGGGGGCATCTTTCTGTCCCGTGTAGCACAGGTGCAGCGGGGCTCCTAGGTGCTACCGTAATGCCCCTAATAGCAATAAAAAGGTACCACCCCGGCGCAATCTTGGGCCATGACTGGGGCCCCTTGAGGATACCGTAATACCCCTAATAGCAATGAAAAGGTACCACCCCTGGCGCAATCTTGGGCCATGACTGGGGCCCCTTGAGGATACCATAATACCTCTAATAGCAATGAAAAGGTACCACCCCTGGCGCAATCTTGGGCCATGACTGGGGCCCCTTGAGGATACCATAATACCTCTAATAGCAATGAAAAGGTACCACCCCTGGCACAGTGGGATCTTGCTTTATAACTGGCGCTCCTGGGCGCTGCCCTAAGGCAGCTAATGAACAATGCTAATGCTGTTGATAGAGGCAGCTGGATTCCAAGTCGCCCTGCGGCCCCCTCAGGGTGGCCGGCACCAGGGCTGCACTAACCCGATGCCCACCCAACTCCTGCCCTCTGGATCACACCCAGGGAGGCGCACACCCGGCTCACCCGCTTGAGCTGCTTGGGGGGTAGGGGTCCCCACTTCAACGGCTCAGTCACCAGTAGCCACCTGCCCCCCTCATCCCTGGGCAGAGCCCCAGGCAACTGCTCACCTGAAGCACGGATCCCCAGAGCCAGGCTTCCTGACGCCCGCCTTGGGAGGGAGCTGCTCTGTGCTGATGGCCCAGCCACTGAAATTACCTTGGGAAGAAGGGTTATAGGGAGAGTAAAAGCTGCAGAGTGAAGGGAGACTTGTCCCAGAAGCCAAGGGCACAAGAAATGCAGCTGACTCTGGGGTGGGATGTGGCAGCCGTTTATACAGGGATCCCTGGCCCGGAGCTGCGATGCTGCTGAGTCTGGGGTGGGACGTGGCAGCTGTTTATACAGGGATGCTGCTTCCCCCAGGAAACCAAAGAGCACCTTGCTAGCCCCACCGAGGAGGCTGTGAAGCAAACCGAGAGCTTTCCTGCCTGATTCTGCCCCCCCGCTCCCGGACACGCATCCTGGCAGCTCCTAGGCCCAGGCTCCCCTTCCCAGCACTTACCCAAGGACTCCAGCGGTGCCCGGGGGCTGTTGGGAGGCAAGGAGGGAGCTGGCTCTGAAATGTTCACACCTGACCAAAGAACAAAATAGACAAGTCACCTCCCAGCTTAGGCACCACCCACCAGGATCAGAGACATGCCTCCTCCCCCTGGCTGTTTCTCAGTGGTTAGCGTCAGTCAGGGTGCCTGGCCTGTAGCTCAGTCCATGAGGAGATGGGGACTAGTGGGTAGAGGGGGACTGCGAGTCAGGACTCCTGGCTTCCCTGTGTGCCTTTGGTCAAGCCACTTCCCTGCTCAGTGTCTCGCTTCCCCCACAAGGGGAGCAGCTGGGGTGCTTGGGGCTGGAAGGGGCCGTGGGGGGAAGAGCCATTTGTAAGTGGGGGAGGGACAGGAGGCAACAACGCTGATTCATCAGTCCTCTGGAGCAGTCTGGGAGCAGCTGCTCCGATGGCCCCGGGGGCTGCGACTGGCATGGGAGCTACATTCCCTCTCCTCCAGAGAGCTGAGCCGGCGAGCTCGGGCAGGCTCCAGCGCCTCCTCCCCTGCCACGGACCATGTTCAGCAGAGGCCTCCCTAGAAATGGGGCTGCCTTTGGGGTGCAGGAATGAGAGACGGCAACACCCTCAGGGGCCCACAGCACATCTCCCACAGGGAGGAATATCGCCTGAGAGGCAGCTGCCTCTGGGGTGGGGCACGGCAGCCATTTATACAGGGATCCCTCAACCAGCAGTGAGCTGTGGCTGTCTCTGGGGTAGGACGTGGGGGCTACAAAATCCCTCCCCCTGCACTGACAATCAGCTGCTGCTGGGGTGGGCGGTGACAGCTGTTCACACAGAGCTGCCTCCGAGGTCTGGTGCAACAGCAGAACTGCCACCCAGTGCAAGCAGCTCTGGGGAGGAGCACAGCCGCTAGGGACACAAAGCCCTCCCCAGCTTCGATGCAGCCACCTCTGCAGAGGGGCAGGTGCTGCGCAGCCCTCCTCTGTCCGGGTGGGCAGGGACTGCCTTTCCCGTGCTGCAGCCCCGGAAGTGCTGCCGTTCGGACCGGTTCCTGGAGCGAGCGAGGCAGGAACTCCCCAGCAAGTCAGGCTCCCCCGGGCACATTCCGGAGCCCAGGGTTGGGGATCTCGGAAAACAGCTCCAGCGAGTGTCCTCTGGGAGGGGAATCTCCCCACAGCCCCGCAGTCCCTTTATCACCTGCTCGCCCCTCCTCAGTGCCCTCCCCTGCCTGGCTGGCAGCCCTGGGAGCTGCTCAGGGCAGAAAACGCAGGTCTGTGCCTGCAGCCCCTGGGGCGCCAGGCCCTGCCAGTCCCCACCGGACACTTGCACCTTCCCCCACCCACC